TTTTTTTAATAAAATGGAGCACTACTCAGCCATAAAGAATGAGAAACTAGAGACATTTATAGCTAAATGGATGCATATTAAGGCCATACTCTTAAGTGAAATAAATAGGACACACATGTGTAAATACCGAACAGTTTCTCTAGTGTGAGAAACTGAAAGTGTAAATAAGGATTAAGACGATTAAAATCAACTTATTTTTAGTATCAGCTACCTCTGTACAGCAAGCTGATCTTTTTATTTGTACTTAATATTTTTTTTTTGCTTCCAGCATCTGCAAAATTTAAAAAAAAAGGCCTTCTTATCAGCATGTCTAATTATCATCCCTAGTTGAAAAGCACAAACCTGAACCACTTCAAGCCCAGAGAATGAAAGCAACTCAGCTTCAGCTCCTGTTCTATATTACAATGGGCTTCATCCATCCCTAGTAAGGGCCAGTGGTGATGGCACAGTGAGCAAAGAATAGTTGAGACAAAGGGAAGCTGGAAAGGATTTTAACTGTTCTTTTGGTTAGGTCTTCACAGACCACTTCCTTTGTTTGTGCATTCCTGTAACACCAGATAAACTAGTGTTTCAATGTTAGCATAAAACATATACATTCCAAAGCTAAAGAGAAATAGATTCCATATTCTCTGTTATGCAACATTAGTGCCCCTGCTTCTTTCAATTACCATGGATAATTGGAACTTTGCTATAGTTGGATTTGCATAATGTTTTTCTTAATGCATTGAGTTAGACTATTGTGTAGTTTAACTATATTGTTCATTTAACTGCATCCTTTCATTCATTCATTCATTTATTCAGAAAGTGCTTATGGAGCACCCCTTCTGTCCACATTGTTCTGCAGGAAGTTACGAGCCAGTGGTTGTAAATCTGACATGGACAAAAATTCTATATTTCTAGGCAATATGAAAATACTGTTTGAGTGATAAATGGTGAAAGCTTTATTATTCAACAATGGTAAACATACTTTTAATTGAAGCACATCTGAGTAGGCCTTGATGGAAGAGTAGAATCTGACAGACAGAGGAGGGGCAGGGGACTCTAAGAGGAGGAATGGGGGAGGAAGGATTCTGTGGGGATTTGTGGGGCATGAGATTGGAATTAAAAACAAAGTATATTATTTATTAATCCTCTCCTTTGTTAGACAGGTTTGTGAGTGTTTTACATTAAACATTCCATTACTCTTTTTAGCATTATTATGAAGTGAGTATTGTTATGTAGTTGGAAAGAAGAGAAATCAAGGGCTTAACAGGGAAGCCAGGATAAGATTTAAACCCAGGCCCAGACTCTGATACCTCTCTGTCTCTCCTTTAGGGGGTCTCAGAGTATAGAGGGCTTCAGTCACCAGGCTAATGTTAGTTTTCAGCTGGGCACCCTGATATATTCAGTATGACTGGTCCCATTCCCAGTCGGGACCTGAGGTCTAGTGAATCCCTAGTCTGATTAAAGAACCAAGAATGCTAGAGCATGCATTGTGTCTTGCCAGCATATAACACCACTGTCTCTAAGCAACTGCAAACCCTCTCTATTTTCCAGGTCAAGTCCCTACTGCTATTGATGCTGGGGATCACCCTCCTAAGGGAGGCGGCAGCTTGGAAAACTCGCGGAGTGGGCAATACTAGTCTCCAAAAGCCTAGCAATTGCCCTCCTCTGGAGGGCAACACTGTGAGGGTCAACACTCGAATCCTCAATCAAAAGCAGGGCATTCTCATCACACATGACTTCCGGAACCGCTCCAGCTCCCCGTGGGATTATAAGTAAGTGCATGGGAGACAGATCTTCACAGTCTTTTGAAAAATATATTAATTTATTTTAACCATTGTCTTGGTTATTTTCTCATTGCTTTGACAAAATATTTGACACCTACAAGTTAAAGGAGGAAAGATTTGTTTGGGTTACAATTTGTAGAGGTTTCAGTCCATAGTTGGGGAGCTTTAGGGCAGGGCAACATGGCAGAGGGGCATCACAGAGGAGAAACAGTTCATGGCATGGCAAGGCAGGCAGAATGCAGCAAAACCAGCAAGGAACAGCAGCAGGAGCAGCAAAAACAAAAGCAGCAGGTCTTCATTTCCCTTTTTTCACTTCCAGGATATCTACCTTTTAGGTGGTGCCACCCATACCCAGGGTGGGCCTTTCCATCATCCACACCCAGAACTATGCTAAACCAATCAGTGCACTGATTTAGGGACAATTAAGAGTGCTTTTGGAGTTGCTTCACAACTCCTCCTATGACAGGAGTCTGTACAGTGGCAGACTAGCTGATTGGCTTTCATGCTTTTATGCTACTAGGCAGTGTTGACTATTGAGGGAACAGTTGAGAGAAGCTGTGAGATTTGCAGATAGCTTGGTTTTCCTATCCATGCAGCAGGCTTCATAGATTGTATGTTGGAAGACCTACTGGTGATGCTCAATCTTTAGGTAAAGGATGAGGACTAATTATCACAATAAAGCCAATAAACATAAACTAAAAGATCTAACATTAATTGTATGTTAATGTTGTCCAGAGGGGTGATTTATAGGCATTTGTATTACTGTTCTCAACAGTTCCATGAGAGAATGATATATGAGAACCCCACTTTCTATTTGAGGAAACTGAATGGCAGGTAGTTAAGCAACTACCAGTGGGTGGCCCCAGTGCCTGTGCAGCCTGGGTGTCTCCAAAGTGCCCATAGGGGGCCGGGGATTTAGCTCAGTGGTTCTGCTGCCTGCCTCGAAAGCGCAAGGTCCCGAGTTTGATCCCCGGTACCAAAAAAAAAAAACCAAAGCAAAGTGCCCATAGGGCTGTGGCCCCTGTTCCTCTTCTCTCCCTTGTCTCACCCTTCTGTCTTGGCTTGCTCCTCCTGCAGCATTACCCGAGACCCCCACCGCTTCCCCACTGAGATTGTAGAGGCCCGGTGCAGACACTCAGGCTGCATCAATGCCCAGGGGCAGGAAGACAGCTCCATGAGCTCTGTTGCCATCCAGCAAGAGATCCTGGTCCTCCGGAGGGAGCCCGAAGGCTGCGCTCACTCCTTCCAGTTGGAGAAAATTCTGGTGACTGTTGGCTGCACCTGTGTCACCCCCATCATTCACCATGTGGCCTGAGAGCTGCACATCAACTCAGTTGGAGAAGCTGGAGCAATGCCATTCCTTATCCAGTGCCCTGCAACAAGTCCTGTCTGATTTCCCATTCTCTCCACTTCTTAAGACTCTTAATAAGCTCTGCATGGAATTCTCAAAGCTTTGTCGTAGATATAGTATTACTTTTCTAGAATGCTTCAGACATGTTCCAGTTCTCCATCCTCCTGAAAGTGCATGGAGGAGCGTTAAGAACCCCATGTCCATTATGTTACATGATGACCACCTCATCATCACGATGACCACTGTGATCTAGTGCTATTCCCTGGGATCTCTGTTCGTGAAATGGAAACAGAAAATACAATCATAATGAATGAGTGTGTGGAAGGGGCTGGGTAGGCTGGGGTGGGATGGTAAGGGTGGGGATGAGGATCTGGTGAATATGTCTATAGGAAGCATTTGCTAAAACGATATTGGTCGGAACTAGTAGGTATTTATATTTGAAAAGGAATTATCCATATATTTATGATCTATTAATCATATAAAAGTTAGCAGAAAAATTAATATATCCAGTAATAATGTAATAAAATATTATTAACTGAAAAATGTTTGAGGTGCTTGTTTCTAGTCTCAAAGATCTCATAGCCCTAAAGATCTTGAAATCCTATATACTGGTCATTTGTGTTTTGTATTTCTTCATTAGAGCACTGGTGTTAGAGTTACTTTATTATTAATGATACCTGAGTGTTAGTTACATGGAGAATTCAGGAAAATGGTGCAAACAGAACTCAGGTTCCCAAGTAACACTTTAATGTTCGAACCTTCTGGATATTTTCTTTTACAAAGCAGATTCTGGCTACATTCCACAGGTGCTACAGAGTAAAGTAAGAAATATATACAGAAGGGCCACAGTGTCAGCAGCTGTCATCTCTGAAACCCCAGTCATTAGGGCCATGTGGTCACTTTAAATCCTCCTCCTTATGACTTCTGTGTCCTTTGAGGGTCACTGATAGTCTTTTGTTCTTCTGTAGGCTTCTTGGGAGCACACCAGCTTCCAGAGAACACCAGGCTTCACGCCTCTCTGGGAAACTCAGAGGTCCTCTCCTGCCTCCCTTGCCCAGACCCAACACACCACATTTTCTCCTTTACTGCCATCATGCTGCTGGCTCAGGGCAGTTCTGCATTGCTGCCAGCTTCCAGCTTCCAGAGAGGAAGTGGAATGTAAGCTCCCCTGCCCATCTGGGACTTGGCTTGAGGATGGGCAGATAGCAGGAGCCTGGCTCCCATTTCTAATTCTGTAATTGGTTGGTACGAGAACAAGAGTGATTGGGGAGGCAGAGTCTTCATTTTTTCCACTTTAGAATCTTCTGCTTAAGGTATAAATACTGGCTTTTGTATTTAAAAAGGTCAGACTCTGGAAATGTAAAAAACCTTTCTTAGCTATAATAAGTTTGCTATAAGCTCCAGAAGTCCATTTAGATGTCCGATTCTGTCCACAGAATCTTCCTTTCTTTGGTCATGTTGGCAATAATAGTTCTATCCCATGGGCCATACATGGAAAAACCCCTCAACCTGGACAGTGGGGGAAGCAGAAAGATGAAAATTGCAGGAGGAAGAAATCACATCTCTGAGTGTATCAAGATACCATCTCATTACGCATGTACACATGTAATTTTAAGGCAGGGTGTTAAATACTATGATCAAGGCAAAAAAATGATAGGAAAACACAGAAAATGAGAGCTGGGAAATTTCAGGAAGGAGATGATATTTGAACTGAGGTGAAGACAAGTTGATCTAGAGGAAGATGAAGGAAAAGAATTTCTTGCATGGGAACAACATAAGCAAGGACATGATATGTTAAGGGGACAGCAAATAGTTTCAAGTGCTCTGATAGTGTTGATATGGGAACACAATGGGGAACATATAGCAAATATTTCCTTAGAATGAATGAATGAACACAGCTGTAGATAAAAAGCAGTAGGCAAATGGACCAATTTTGAGTAGTTTTGTGTACTCTATTACAGGAGTGACAAAGGTAAGGCTGTATTTCACAAGAAAACTTTGGTGATAGTGCGCAAAAGGATCAGAAATCTGAAGGCCAGTTAATATCAGAGAAGGCATTTTTTTTCCTGATGGTAGACTCACATTGTTAGAGTCAGATGGACTCCTGTGGATCACCTGGTCTGTCTTTCTTTTTTGCCAATGTGGCCTGGAGGAATTAGGCGAGTTGCTCACCAACTCCAAGTTCCTGAATTTTCATGCTTCTTTTACAGCAATTCCACAGTTTGTCCAATAAAGACCCACTTCAGTTGCTTCTTTCTATGGCCCAGGGCTGCCCTTGGGAGAGTGTACAGAGGAACTCCATACCCCACATTTTCAAACACACTGTACACAGAATTACCGTAGGCTGGGGCCCCGCCTGAGAGCTGCTTGCCTTTCGGGCTTGTGCCAGGGCTGGCATTTAGGCAATAGCATGGAGGAAGGGAACGGGAAGTAAAAGGAGTTAAGATGTGTTATATACATGTACCAAATCCCCACGATAAATATAATTATTATGTACTGCAAACACGTATGTACTAATAAAAAATTAAAAACAAATTTAAGAAAGGAAATTGCACAACCTCTCCTGCTCACAAGATGGCGCACTGCACCCGTTCAGTCTCAAATTGCTTACCGAGCGGAAAGGAAGCAAATGGCTGCTTCGTGGAAGCCCTTGTTTTGAGACCATGCTGAGCAGAAAGAGCAGGCTGTGTTCTTCACCTGTGGGCCCAGCTTGTTTTACCTGTAGGAGAAATGGACTAGGTAGAGGGTTCAGGTGTTCAATATAATGTTTCCATAGAAAAGTGTGAAGGAAGTGTGGGGAATTATGGTTATTTTACCATTGTTTCTTTGAAGAAACTGACTGGTGAGGTGAGCCTGTGGTATAACATTAACTTTTCCGTCCATTAACTATGCACAAAAACTCTGCATACAGTGCTAGATGCATGGGAGCTTGAAAGAATACTTTATTTTTCAGTGCCAGTATAACATCAAAAGTCCCTTTCAAGTACAAACATATATACACTGTATATATTTTATTCTGACCCCCTTGACCACTAACCTGAGTTATTGTGTACTGTACATATTTATTAATCAATTTTGCTAGGAGAGACTATTTCTAGCTCTGCCAAGGGTTTCTAGCTGTGCCCTGTAAAACAAAGACATGCCAGTCTTCCAAAAATACCTGGCACTCCTTAGAACTGAGATGGGTGGACAATAGAACCACTGTGTCCCGATGAAAGTGTTCCTGGGATGACGTTTCCAGGCTCCCTCCTCACATTAAAGTTAAGTACACAGGTTCCTGCTTTCTCCCTGTTGGTATGCTTCTCCTTTGTACTCGCCTGCGGCTCTCTTGCAGTGTATTGATAAACTTTAACTTTTCTATTTTCCTTGACTATTGGTAAATTCTTTTCCCTCTGCAGCACTGGCCTTCACATGTGCTGTAGGGAGGAGCTTTTCTTTCCAGGGGAGCACCCCATCTGTATTAATTCACATGGTTATAAAATTGCTTTATCCACTTAGTTTGTACATACATACACACACACACACACACACACACACACAGTAGGTTTAAACAAAGGATCTAGTATACTACTCCATATGTGGTTTGTTACTACTTTTCCATTTGTGAAAAGTCAAGGAAAGTACAGATTCAGCACATTGCTGGCCTCCCGCCCTGTTCAATTGTTCATTGTAATTTACTTCCTTGGTATAATTAGGAAGAAAAACATTTTTAGTTCAATAAATTTCAGGAGTGGTACATGTTCAGCTGGTGGTACACGTTAAAGCTGTATGCTTTAAAATATTGACCTATTGCCAGGAGGCCGAGGTAGGATGATTGAAAGTTTGAGTCCAGCCAGGGCAACTTAGCAACTAAGTAAGATACTGTGTCAAACTAAATTATAGAAAAAGGGCTGGCGATATGGTGATATAGTTCAGTGTGAAAGCCTTGGGTTCAAAGGAAGACTATTTTTACATTAAGATGTTTTCCTTGGTATGTGAAATCTAAACAAGAGACAAGAAAGTAGGAGGGAGACTATTATCAGACAAGAGGAAGGGAATAAAGGGGGGGATGTAAGGGTAGGCGCTAGAGGGGACAGATAGGAGTAAAATATAAACATTGAACTCCCCTCAAAGGTGAAACTAAGCGGGGAGGGTGGGGTAGGAGGAGTTGAGGGGGAGGGGAAAACAATGAACGTATGTTATATGTATGTACAGATCTACCAGAGTGAAATCCATTGATCTGTATAACCAATACAAATGTGAAAAAAGATGTTTGGTCTGAAAAATACTGATCTATTCTCTTAAACTCTACAGGCATTGCAGTGATAGCAGAGATCACAGCATAATGACTAAGTGCAAGGATATTACAAGCAGATTATAAGGTACAAATATCAGTTCTAGGGTTTGCTAGATGTGTCTGTTACTAATGATCTGAGCATATTACCTAGATTCTCTTCACCTGCTTTTCCTCAATTATGAAATCAGCATGATACCAGTACCTACTTCAAGGAGGTTTTGATAGGAGAGAATAAAGTAATTCATATAAGATGATAGTGCCGGACAAGGTAAGTGTGTTGTTTAGTGCATTAGATAAAAAGAGAAAAGCCAACCATTGTTCCATCACAATCACATTTCACTTTCAATACTTCATTTTTTGTGTGCTCATTTGTTTCAGAGATATATACAGTACTTTATAAGGCTCTAACTGCAACATACATGCAATTTTGTATTTGGTAATTTTTAACTTGTTATATTTCATATATTTCCAATGTTTCCATAGAATTTTCATAATGGCTTTTAGTGGCTACATAATTCTTTCAAATTGATGAGCCAAAATTTCTTTATTTCTGGAATATAATTATTTCCAATTAAAAATTAAATAATGCTTGTAGCTATTTTAGTTACTTTTTATTGTGAATAATATAATACAAACAGAAGTGTCTCTCTCATTGATTTGCATATTACAATCTTGTTTGTCTTCAAAT